TTCAAGAGGTCGGCTAAAAAAAAGGGAGAATCGAAAAACCGACTGTCTTACGGGTTTGCAGATATGTGGAAATAGAGAAGCTCGTACGAGCTGAGTTTGATGAAAATACAGGAAACTTTTCGATACACTAACTTTTTTCGACGAATCTACAATGAATATGCCCCATTTTCGAGGTTAGCTAAGAGGTATAAAGCAACCCGAGAAGGGGTACAAAAGGGCTCCCCACCTAGAGCTCGGTCTGCTCCCGCGGGCTCTTTTAGCACAGATTTGCCTCATGTCGTATGTTGTACGTTGCCTTTGTTATTGTTGGATGTATGTGTGTTGCTGTTGTTATTGTTGTATGGTTGCCTGATCTTTGCCACAACGTAATATGACTTTGTTGCTGCCTCTGTTACTTTTCAATTGACAATTTTTGCATGTTTACAAGGCAAAGGCAGAAACAGAGGCAGGCGCACCGGCAAAAATCCAGGAGCAGCCGCAACTCCTGCCAGACTAAGTCCTTTTTGGGCTCCGTTTATCAGGGCTGCCGCGGCGGAAGTTTATGCCTTTCGGCAGCTCTTGCTGCTGCCAGCTCGTTGTGCTCACTTCCTGTTGATTGTATTGTTTATTATGGCTCATAGAGCAGCGTTATGGCCCAACTATCCATGAATCACAAGCCCAGCCCAACCCTCACATCGTGCCCATTTGCCCATTTGCATGTGGCGTCAGCTGCTCTTGACGCTGCATTTAAAATCAAACGGATATGAAATTACTTCGAAGACTTTTCGCCCTTTAATTGCCGCAATATATCATGATAATTATTATGCTAATTATGCTGCCATGCAGGCGCATTAAGCAGGCTTCAACACGTATACGCAATGTTGCAGTTGCCAGGAATTCGTAGCATACATTTCAGGGCAGCTGCGTATACATTGTGTCCATTCCCAGGCTTGCCAGTCCACATTCTCCAACTGGCAACCTTTGTGCCTTTCCTTTGAACTTTGATTTCATACAAAATTCACAAAACTCTTTGCCAGCGCATTTAAATACCCATTAGCCATACAACTGGGTAAAAAGTGCGATTTTAATGTATACCAATGTATGTAATAGGCAGAAAAGGATTTGGATATGATCCCACAAATAATATATACATATTATTCTTCAACAGCATCCATTGATCTACACGTCCATATAACCACATAAAAGAATTATACAACCATAGAACTTTTACAGGGCATCTCCTGCGAGCGTACTCGACTTTGTTATTGCCCTCAAACCCAACTTTTAGTTAACTTTTTGGTAGGTTAGTTGGGTTTTATTTTTTTTTTATTTTTATATTTCGGTTCTATGTTATTTTTGTTACCAACATTTAGTGGCTTTTGTGTTCTTTGCGTTTTGAAATTTTGCAACCAACTAATTCAATTGGTTAAATGAAATGCCAAATTCTTGAGCACAGGCCACATATATTGCGGCATTTTTGAATAAGCATTAAAATTGCATAGAAATTAAGAAGCAAGTAGTCAAAAGAGTTAAAGTAGAAGATTATAGAAGCTCAAGCTAAAATTCCTAAGCGTATAAATATACTTATATCTCGCTTCTGCGCGTAGAAAGTTGATCAAATAAAAGCTCAAAACTATTTCACAAAACTTGTAAAACGAATTGTTAAATAAATTCTGTTTAATTTGAAGTAAATTTAGTTATTTAAAAAAAAAAATGGTTATCAAAATCCCAGCTTAAACTTGTTTTTGCATAAATGCACACAAATGTACAAAGCTTGAATCAAATGAATAATAAATAAAAATTATAATAAATAATATAAATATTATAATCATTTACTAAACTTTTGACAGAAGTGTAGCTAAATATAAATGAGCATAAAATGTTTAAAATCGCATCAGAAACTAACGTAAAAACGCCGGAAAACTTTTTGTTGTGCCACCCAGCAAGGATTTGCCAGCACACGGATATTTATATCCTTTTGGGAGCAACAGAAAGGCGAAAGGCAACATTTTGAGCCGGGAATAAAATGAACATCACAATTGCGCGACAACATTTGCAACACATGCAGCTAGAAGCAGCAGGGGGAAAGGGGGAAGAGCAGTGAGAACAGGAATATTTTTGGAGAAAATACAACATGAAATTGGGAAACAAACTTTTGCTCAACGCCTGCAGGATGCGAGTTGCTAGTTAACAATTTGGCCAACTGGCCAACTGGTTGGTTTTTCGCTCCCTCTCTCTCTTTTCTTTTTATGACCAATTAAAAGTGCAAATTATATTTGCAAAAGTGGAAGGCGAAAAAACATAAATTAAATTTTAAAAACTTTTATAGCTGTGTACGTGGATTTAAAGTTACTAATTTTATTTTCATTTTCGAATTTCATAAAGTTAATTTTGATCATTGTGGATGCCTTAAATAAAATAAGGTTCATTTTGATCTTGATGTATGTTTTATAACAGAAAATTTATATATCTTTGAACAAACTTCTTAACATATCACTCTGTTCTTATACATGCCTCACTTGCTTCTACTCTTACGCTTTTCCTCACTCTCTCGCTCTCCACTTCTGTCTCAATTAACTGGTTAATGATTAATCAGTGTGACCAAAGACAATAAAAACACTAAGAAAGATAAAGTCAATACATTTAAAAAATTTCTAGCCTGGCTTTTCATCTGGCTTTTCGCTCCTCAAGCGACATGCCAGGTAACTGGCTTTACGCTCTGCAAAAGGCCGCCCAAACGAATGCCGAAGTCGCGGCGCAATTTCTCAACTTTGTGAAACTTCAACTTATTGCAAGCAGCACAAATGCCGATGGAATGGGAACATTATATCATATACCTGTAATGCGAATTATCAGTCGAGAATTGAACTGACATAGACAGATAAGACTTTATGGATAACTCAGCAGCAAGCTATGCTCTGTACAAAACAAACTCCTCTTAAAATTGGAGCATATCATAAAATGAATATTACTTAATCATCTTACTTTTCTCACAAAGTTTATTATAGAAAATTATAGATAATAATATGCCCATGTCCACGTTATAAATAATTAATAAATACACATTTAAGGGCCAGAACCAAATGCGACTATCATAGCATGGGTGCAGCATATATATAATACCTTTTCAGCCCTTAATTTAATACCTGCTCAAGCTATGCAAAATTATGTTAAATACCGTGAAGAAGAAGCTGTAGAAATGTGTGTATTTGCCTTCATCAACGTGATTCAGTCTTCATTACAGCCAACACGTAGCCGAGCCATGGCCCATAATAATGCACATTATATTATGATTTTATTATAGCGTGTAATGCGCTTAAATGTAGGATATTTGCTCTGCTGGATGGCTCCGTTGACTGTAAGCCCGGTTGATAACATTTTCTTAGCCCTGTTATAAATTCATGTGGCACAAAGCGTTTTCTCCATTTATTTTGCATGTCACAAATCCCAAAAACAAAAGGCCACCGAGGCGACAGGCGACACAGCGGCCGACGCCCACCGACAACGCCTATGCAACGCCACAAAAGCACTTGCCACTGCCACGCCTCCTTGCTGCATGTTATTGCTCTGTGTTTTTGTTTTTTGTGCATTGTGTTTACTAAAATAAACAAACAAAGGGGAAGCACACAGAGAACACAACGTAGAACGGCCAGTTGAGCCACAAATGAAGCCCAGCACGCAGCACGTACCAAGGGGCGTATGCGTGTTGCGGCAGCGACAGCAGCTGCAACGTTCAACGTGCAACGTGTGCCTGCAACGAGGACAACGCTGCCCGAGAATGTAGGTTAGCTTGCAACGGTTCAACCGAGTCTCTCCTTCATAATGAGCCACACTTGATGCGAGCCACATTTGAGTCGGGGCCAGAGCATAAATTAATTGGTTAGTTCACACGCACACAGACACAGAGAAGCACACACACACAAAGAGCTGAATGAGAACAGGGACAAGGTGGCAATAGAGCCTTAAACAAGTGTTCTTAAGGTATCTATTAAGAACTAAATGTAGGTAATATTATCTTAGGAACAAGAAAATGGTCTTTTTCGACAAGCCAACCGTAAATACACTTACGGGCTTGCAGATATGTGAGGAGATTAGTGAAGCACATAATCTCTGAGTTTGGTCAGCATAACATAAAGAACAAAAGTGTTTTCCATATAAAAAACTCATTGTTCCTCCGCTTCTTAATGATATAGTAGATTAACCTTATTAAGATTTTGCTCGTATATAGGAAGCATGTTAAATTGTCATACAAGAACATGGCTATTGACCTTTAGCTGCTATTTCAGCTATAAATTACAATATTGCTATGCCACAATTTAAAATTGAATACTCTCTGTAAAATGCTTAAATAAGCTATCGAAGTTATCGATAGTATTTACACAAAATATCGAACCGTAGTACGATCGATAAGTTAACCTGCAAAGGCATATTTGATTGATTACCTAATTGATTAAATATCAATTACCTATCAAATTCAAGGTTTTTTTGTAATCTATCTAAATAGTTGATACAGCCAATAACTAATAAGATAGGTCAATCATCGCCCCCAAGTGCCCGTTGAACTGCGTTGTTTTTCGCTGAGGCATCAATAAGAAAATTATAAGTCCCATTGACAACAATCTGAAAAATAGAAATACTTCCCGATAACACCTACACATGATTTACATATTTTAATGTGCGCTGATAAGGCACGCTGCATATATGTTAATTTGCAAACACATTTTCCATTCCAGTAAATTCGAAAATCAAGACGAGGGAAAAACCTATTAAGATTATCGGATTATAAAACATAGAACAATCTGTTCTTATATTATCAAAAATAAATTATTTTAAAAGCAAAGACATCAACAAATTTATAGTAAGCTTTATTAACTATGGGCATTATTTTTCATTAAATAAAATACCCAAGGTAGCCAGATAGACTCTTTAGCGATAAGTAACTATACTATAGGACTTTCCCAGAGATTACAATAAATGCGTTGCAAAAAATATGCATATAACGTATGAATTCAAGACCCGAGCATCAGTTGAAATTGAGCTGCCGAAGACCGCAAATCCTAGACACAATGAAGATTAAAGTCGCATTCTTTTTGGCATTCGCAACCATTGCCTTGGCCAGCGGTAAGTTGTGGAGTGTATCTAAGTTTCTTTGGAGAAAACTTATTATATTTATATAAATTTTGTAGGCTTTCGAACGCCGGATTGTCCGCATTGGAGCAAATGCTGGAAGGATTATCAAAGCGGCCGCGTTGTGTACTGATTGCAATTCAAATATTAAATAATGTGTAGTTCTAGAAATGTCAACATCATCATCAAACTGTGTGTACTCAGCAATCATATAGTGCATAAATAGTTATTAATTAAAAATGATATGAAACGATCCCAATGGAATGCAAAAAACGTGTCATTTAAATCGTTTTCCATTAGGCTTATGTGCTTAATTAAGCGTTAAGGCCATTAGAGCGAATGCCATCAGAACTCTGAAGTCCAAACAATTTTCGCAATGAAATGCGAATGAAATAAAGCTTAATGCAAAATAAATATATACTACCACTAATTGCACACAGAGACCCAACACACGCACACACACACCCTATATGTCAGCTTTATAGGTAATCCTCCAACAGAGCTACTCGTATTATCCGAATTGTAGGCCGTACAACTTGGCACGCAATGCGAAATACGAATAATCTGCATTGAGATTGACAGGCTTATCAAATTTGCCCCATTTCGTCAGAGTCGACAGCAGGTATTACAAATAGAAACTCAGAAATCGCAATAGCCCAGAAATAAGAATTGGCAATTTAATAATCTAAAATGTCTGCATTCAAAATATTTCTAATTATTTTCAAAAATCGTTGATAAAGTAGTTGAAATAACACAAAAAAATCGTAAAATATTCAAATTTCCCCTAAAAAAAAAACTCCTACTCTCTATAAATGTCCTGAGAAGTATTTCTATAGCTCGAATAGTTAATATTTTGAGCGCTAGATGGCGCCACACCCACGCGTGCCACAATCATTCAGTGCTTTTTAAAGGGGGGCTGTACTTAATTTTAAAATGCACAGTATTTTCACAACGGCCATGATTGACATGGGCTTGACGCATTATTGATTGAGCTGAGCTGTAGACGGAGGCGGGGTAGAGTGTAAATATGTATGTATATTCATAAAGGTAAATACACATACATATTTAGTTAATGGCCAGGTGTGAACGCCTTGTCATTAAGTACGCACAACTTTATTCCATTAGCTATGTACATACATAGCCTAGACTTGGGTAAATGGAAAATAGATACCTACTACTATTGATTTTTATGCCCCTAAAATGCACTGAGCAAAGTATCTAAATAGAACAAGGCTACAAGCCTTAAATATTTAAACTGTGCGGCGTATTTACTAAACTTTCATTCAAACTAGAAATAAGATTCGACTTCGAGTATTTCTACACGTAAGTTAGTTTTCGATATTTTTAAACTTTTTTTTAGTGTATGCAACGAGCCTGCTTAAGAGATAAGCTGCGTAAAATAGAACTTATATAAGCCGCTGCGAACATGCCACACAAAGGGAAACCCTGGACTTTTCGTATACATTTTAAGTAGATGTCATTAGGCGTCTCCCCGCCGCCAAATGACTTTTACAACAACATAAATCCATTAATATCTGGCGCGTTGAATTTGATTTCCTTGGCCAGAGCTGAACTGTGCAAACTCTGGCAACTAGGCGCTTTTGTTTGCTTAAACATTTAAATAAACAATAGAAATTACTTTTGAACTCTTGGTTCTTTGGTTCGTTCAGGTGAGCTGCTACGAATGCCTGAATATTTCTTTCTTTGTTGTCAAATCGATTTTTATATTTCTTTCTTCGTTGTCAGCGTTGTCGGCGTGGTTTTTTTCTGGTTCTTTGTTTTGCGCTGTTTTTGTAATTTGTGCTAGCAATTTGCTTTTATCTTTCGCTTTGGCTAAATAGGTATTTTTAGGTAGCATTGCAGAGATTATTTTAATGTGAGGTGTGCATTTTTAAAGAGAGCTTATTTATAAGGTTAATTGTGAAATGGGCAAATCATTTAACCCCTTAAGATATTTGCCCCTAAAACTAATTTGATCATTGATCGTATCGATAACAGCACTGGTGTGTCTGTTATCGATTGCAGTTGTTGACTCACCTCGATAACACTATCGCTGCCCAGTCCGCAGATCTTGTTCTTATTGTTGTACAGTTTCTGTTCGAATTGCTGCTTGCGCTGCCTGCGCTGCTTACGTGTGGCTAAACGCAGACCCCCGCCGCCGCCGCCGCTGCCGTCGCTGCCGCCCACAACCTGCGCTGCAATGACAATTTCGTCGTCTTCGTCGTCGTCGTCGTCGCCGGCGTCGACGTCGTCGTCGTCGTCGTCGTTTAGTATTAAACCAGCAGGTGGCGTTCCACTCGCATTGAACTCATCGACATCGATATCAGCTGCTGTGTCCGGCAGCAAGTCTAAATCACTTTGAAAGCTCAGATCCAAATCTTGGGGCAGTTTTGCATACTTTTGATTATTTTTCATTGTTCCTGCTTATTTGTATGGGCAGTCTCGCATGAGTCATGCCATGTGCAGAAATGTCCTAGGAGAATGGATACTGTTATCGGTTTATCGTCTTGATTTGTTATTGTTGCAATTCGCGCGTTGCTTTCTTACTCATTATGCTACACACACACACACACACACGCACACGCACACAAACAATCGCACACAAACAAACATGCAAACGTGAACATGAACCAAAACAAAATGAGCACAATCGATTTTTCCGCCTTGTCGCTGCGTTCTCTTTGTTTTTGCCCCACTACGAGCGATAATCACAACAACAACAACAGGTTCTTGTCTTGGCTGCACTTCAATGCAACAAATTGGGCGCAACTCGTTGACTCCAATTCAATCGTCCTGGTGCTCGTAGGTGCCGTCGCAGCACCCTTTTACCTCTCTGCTACGTAATTAACACAAGCAAACACACACACATCAAATTGCAATTGCACTTTACAATGTCAAACACAAACAAACAAACTCACACACACACGCACACACACACACACACAAACACGCACACACCTACGAACAATGCGTTTGTTGATTATTTTGCATTTACGATTGAAATTCGATTTGATACACTTGTGTTCTCGGTTCTGTTTCCAATTAGATAGATTTATGCGCTTTTTCTCGACTTCTAGTTTTATTTACCATTTACCGTAAAGACGTCTGTACGCCAACAGAATCGCGTCGCGTATAAAACACAGCGCCAATGCCGATGCCGCTTTCCCCCTATGACTGGTACGTTGCGTGTGTTTGTGTGCCCGTGGTGTAGGGGCTGATTGGGGTAAAAAGTTATCGAAATAAATTTTATCACACGAGGAACTATCGATTCTTGTATGTCTGGCAGCACTATTTATCGCAGTGGATATTGGCACAGCAAGCAGCTTTTGTCATGTACCACTCAAGGGATGTTCCATAACGAAATTTTGATTTTAAAAGCACACACGCCGTTAAATTTTACTTTTAAACAATGTTCCACAACTTATATTGAAAGGCACTTTGAAAATTGTATTATGAGAATGGTTTTTGATCATTTGATTTATTCAAAAGCAGTGATTTGTTTTTTTTTTTTTAAATCGATTATGTTGGGCCTCGTTTGTCGATTTAGTCCCTTTATAGTAAATATCGTAGAGATACCGCGCACATACCACTATTTGTTGTATTTTTGTTTTCTTCTGAAATATAAGTATGTATACTTATTATGTATAAGTAGTTTCCTTGATTAAAAATTATATCTTAAAAGGATAAGCATCATTGTAGCTACCACAAGGTGTACTTTTTGTTCTTCTTCATCTTATATATAGAAAACATTTATGTGTTTTTCAAATATGCTGCACTGCTAATAATTGTTAATAAATGTTGAAGCTTCAAGGACAAAAGCGTCGTCGAAACGATCGAATATTAAAAATGATTTAATTTAGCTATAAAATTGTGTAAATATATAAATATAAATACTGTTCGCTTACAAAATAACACGCATACACGCAAGTTTGTCAAATGTTCCAAATAAATTATGACATTATGTATAAATATGATTTCTTTCCGTCGCCGTAATACAGTATTACATACATTTAACCAATTAAATATAAGATAAGTTGCAGCAATAAAATGCCTTAAGTACATACATTCATTCTGTCTCGTTTCTTTCTTCTCATTTTGTTCTTTCTTATCTGCTTAATTCAATTAATTTAATTACTGGCAACATTCTGGAGATGCTTCGCGTTTCGTAGATAATGTTTTGTGTTTTGCGCATGCGCCACTGTCCAGTGTTGGATAATGGAAAATAGTGCAAAATGTGTGTTGTAAATGGGGTTTATAAGAGTTAAATAGCATCAAAGGTGAGTTAAGTGAAACCCAGTTGGTATAGAGACTAACAGAATAGGCTCCATGAAAATGTCGCTTTCAAATGGATGTTTAGAATGGGCTTAATTAAAAAAAAGAAAATATACAGATAAAGGCTTTCAAGGATGCAGTAAATGGCTTTTGAAGTCATTTGCAGCTTAGAAGTTGCAGCGCATGCGTCTTGTCTGAACTAATTGCTGAGCTTAGCCTAAACAATTCTCAACCCGGCTTAAAATGTATAATCGACTTATGTAAAACTTAAGTTTATAAAAAAATAAACATGGCAAGCGCTTAAGCGTAACTTAAATTAGTATGTATACTAAATAGCTTAAGAGTCAACTATTACTGATGTTGTTGTTGTTGTTCTTGCAATTGCTGCATCAATTGTTGCTTCGTTTCGGCTTTCACAGTTTTATAGCGATCCTTCTCCTCGGTATTCTCGGGCGGTTCACACTCAAAGGATGCAATCGAGAGTGTGTTCTCATTGAGCACCGCACTATGCTGCAGGTAGGCAATTACATTCGGCAATTTCTCAAATGGACAAGTGACCTTCTTCCATTCATTGAATTCCATGACTTGTTTGGCGAGTTGTGAGCATTTCTCAAAGTTGATATGATTGTTTGGCAAACTGCAAAAGCGAACGAAAGGGTATTTAGTTATTTTGTAAATTAAATTGTAATCGTGTTGCTTACCGATTCGAGCAGCCTTCGTTCAGAAAATATAAATCCTTAACAAATAAACTAAAAAATGGAATGATTATGCGTTCGCGTTCCTCTGTAGCGCCCTCGGAGCGCCACATGGCAGCTTTAAGCGTCGAGCGATAACTATTAAAATTCGATGTTGGATCCATTTGATGTTCCAGCACAGAGAATTTAGCCGATTGCACTTTAGACCACTGCAAATTGCAAACAAATTTTTAATTAAAACTACTATTCAGCTTAAATATTTGAAACTTACCGTCTTTTTAAGTCTGCCAATGGGAGCTAGATTCAGACCAGCTATTATGGCCATCAGACTGTTGAAATTGCCAATGTTGAAGCATTCCCGTGCCGTCTCGATCCAATATTCGATAATGCGTACACGCTGCTTCTTCTTCGGATACTGTTGCAGACAAAGGAAATGGATAAATGGCATGTTCGACTGATACCCTAACACACATGCGCTGGAAGCAGGGATGCAGTGCAGCAAGCTAACACCTAACACTTATCCTGAACATTCCTTTATTCTTTCTCACTGCAGAGCATAAAAATCGAATAGAAAGGGGATCCAAATTAAAGATAGAAAGAGACCGGAAAACACTCATATATGTATACGTGAGAAGCGCGTAGAAAGGCGAATTAACAAAGGGTAATTTAATTTGTGGAAATATTGAAGAAGTTGGAATTGAAAAACTTCATCCATGATAGAAGAACTTGCTGAGCTCCTGATAATATTTAAAAAAAGATTCCTGGATCTGCATGTTAAGAAATATTTCGAATTTCTCTAAAACAGCTAAAACTAACTGATAAGAATTCTTCTCAGCTGTTCAAAAACTTGATTTAAATGTTCTCTGTCCGTATTTCAAATTACTTCCTGTGTATCAATTGAGATGGATTTCTAAGCAACCCAAGAAGAAACTTATTGATTTGCACATTTCTTTTTTTTAGCTCTTTTTGAAATTGAATTTGGTTTTTATCGTTTTGCCCTGTGCAAACATATTTCCATACGTTTATCACTCGCATCATTTTCATCCCTGCAGCCATGCAATCAATTTAAGCACTCGCTAATCCCTCCAACTCCCCGCTCCGACTCCACCCACCTTAACAATTTCGCTGGCCGTCAAGTAGCTGAGGCGATTGAACCACTGCACATACGATTCCAAATTGCGTGTCTTCTTCATATCGTTCAAGGAGCCGCTTACCGCACCCGCGGCCGCAGTCGCATCGACGGGCGCGTTGCCTGTGGCTGATGCGCATTTGGCCTGCTGATAATCCTTGGCAAAGGCCTGCACAAACTCCTCGGGTCCAATATGCGACAGACGCTCCAGTTCGATGGCCGTTAGCTGATGGGCCAAATGCTCGCAGCTGGGACAAAGGTCCATAATGCCAAATACCTCATCTGGCTGTGGTGTGCTCGAGGCGGAGTTGCTGCCACTATTTGTGGAATTGCCGCTGCTCGCGGAGCCGCCGCTCGTCGCAGTTCCATTCGTTGTTGTGTGGCCACTCGCCGAAACATGGGAGCTGCCCAGAAACGTTTGAAACGGATTATGCAAATGCAGATGATGCTGATGATGATGATGATGTAGTTGTTGCTGCTGCTGCTGCTGCTGGCATTGGGTCTGTTGCTCGATGGCCTCATTGCTGAGTGTCTGCAGAAACTCCTCGTACTGCTCCAGAGCCTTCAGGCGTGCGACGAGCAGCTGCAATATGCGCGACACCTGCTTGCCCAGCGAGTTGTCGATGTAGACACACTTTCTGGCCAGTATGCGAACCTGCTGCATAAGGCGCTCATCCCGAAAGTCATATGGAAAGATCTCAATCCACTCGGACAGCAAACGTATGCAATGCTGCGCCGAACGTTGCGTCAATGTGCGCTGCTGCGGCTTCGGCTCCAGTTCCAGTTCCTGGCCGCCAGCCGCTGTGCCCTTGCGCTGTGTCAGCGGCGAGGCGGAGTTCAAGTGCAGAGATAGCGCCGGCGGCTGAGCCACTGCATCATCGACCACATCGCAGCCGCCGCCAGCTGCCTGCTGTTGCTGCTGCTGCTGCTGCTGCTCCCAGTTGCTAGAGATCTGCGCGAGCAGCTCGTATGGCCGTATGAACAAGCGTCCGCTTAGCAGAAACGCAAATAGATAACCGTGCTCCGGATAGTAGTCATGCGTGGGCACCATGTGCATGATGAGGGACTGCAGCGTGCCCGAATGCAGCTTACCCTCACAGTAGACCAGATGCCCCTCCCTGGGCTCCCTGCTCAGCCCGACAGCCTTGCTCTGCTGCGGCGGCCCATAGCTGAGCGGCCGCTCCGGCAGCAGGGACTTCTCCACATGCGAGCTGTCGCGTCGATGTGTGGCCAAGGTCTTGGCCACGACTCCGATGCCGATGCCGCTGCCGACGCTGCTGTTGCTCCGTTGCGTCTTCAGATCCGGCAAAGTCTTGTGTGTCGTTGTCGTGTTTGTTGTTGTTGTTGTTCCCGATTTGGCCTTCAGATTGAGGCTTATATTGGCGCTGCCAGTGCTGCCACTGCGGCCATTTGTGGCACTATTGATGCCGCCGTTGCTCGACGACGACATTTGAATCCCGACCGTCCTCTGCTCCAGCTCCTGCTCCTGCTTCTACTGCTCTCGCTGCCAGGCGACTCTTCTATGCTTGCACCGCACTCGCGGGCAGCGTCAAGAGCTACAAAAATGGAAGAGAATAAATTGAATTGCAATAAAAAAAAAGGAATCCATAGAAATAAAACATGTCGCAAATTGGACATGGCAATTGGCGGAGGACAAACGGATACCTGAACATTTTATCGTCCCAAGCAATTAGCCGACTGTCAATAATGGAGGAAGGCAAAGAGCGAAATGCGAGGAATGTAATTTAATTCAACACTTTACTTTAATCCTTTATTCCACACCATTTTGTTTTTGCAGCGAACATTATATTCAAACGAAGGTAAAACTATATCCCATGAAAGCTTTCAATGTAGTTTAATACTCCGATCAGGACAATTGAGACTTCAACAAAATTCATCCGACTGATTATTCCTTTTGAAAGCTTTATTATTTAGAAGAAGGAGCAAAGTAAAGCTCGAAACTATCAAAATGGCTTCAAGTATATTGAAAAACAAATGAAAATTAAGTGGCTTTAAGTGCCACAGTTATATAAATTAATTCCCGAAGAAGCATGTAAGCCCTAGCTGAGCTCATGAAAATCGCATAGAAAGGCCATATTCACCAGAGAGAAAGTGAGAGAGCGAGAGAGGGATAGAGCGTGTTATTGAAACCGAAACACAATTTGCAAATAGACATTGCAAAGCTTAGAAAACCTCGTAACACGTTGGTGAAAACTGGAAAAGTGTCATTCAAGAGCAAACTCACAGAAAATAGAAAATGAATAAACCGTGAGTGCTGCTATTGATTGTCGAATGCGACACTTAATCACGTAAGCACAACCCACACAAATACAACAGCAACAATAAAACGTGCTACTTGTGGCATGAGCCCGACTAGCAAATACCCTGTAGCCACATAGAAACCATTTTGATACTTTTTAAAATAAGATTTCTTTCTTCTTTTTTAATCGGAAAAGAAGTAAAAAAAACCCTTATACCAAATTTTATCTCTCCCACTTTCATAATCTTTAAAAAGGTATCCTAAACGAAGGGGTATTAAAGAGGACGCAAAATAAATATCATCTCCATATAATATACACTTGATCGCCTCAGCTTGTTACTCTGTTCGAGATTATGTGTATCCTATGAGGTCGACGATGCCGCCTTCTGCCAGTTGCATTCGCTTGAACATAATCAATAAACCCCGTTAACCGATTTACAGGGTATACAAATAAACCTCCACCTCCAAGCGCACCCACTCCCTCGCACTGCGAGCCATAAGTGTAGCGGCCAATCCAAAGAAGAGATAATGAAACCATAAAGCTTCACGTCGTATAAACTGTTAATTTCCAGCTGCTTATCGCGGCCAACGAACGAGCTGAGGGAAACACGAAAATTACAAATATTAATTAACAGCAGAACAAAACCAAGAAATACCCGAAAATGGGTCAACAAATTGTTGCGGGGGGTGGAGGCAGGCGGGAGGTCGAAGATGGCCAGTCGAGTACTGAAGCTAAATGTTAATTGAATTACCAGCAGCAGAAGACGCCTTTAGGTTAGGGCAGAGGTGCAAACGATATATGTATATTAAACCCCACTAGCCCGCTTCCAAGCTAACCGCCCGACCCAGTTCAATTTTCACTTTTCTTGGCTCATTGACCGGTGAGGTGGGGGGGGGGCAGGGCAATTATTAACTGTGGGCCAAAACCAAAATCAATTTCGAATGCGGTAAAGGCAAATTGAAATCTATATTTATAACGTTTACACTATATATGTATGTACCGACAACAACAACAACAACAACAGCAGCAATAAAAACAACAAATGAGTGGAATGCACGACGCAGCAGCGAATGCCATAAAAGCTTAAAACAACAACAACTGTAAAAACAAGAACAACAAGCTGCAAAGCGCGCACCATAATTTGTATACAAAAGCGGAACAGTGGAAAGGGACGGCTGCGGCAATGACAGACACAGCAGCAAAAGGCGAAGAAGAAATGTAGACAAGTCAATAAATGGGGCCGTGGCCAGGCGGCTGCTGCCAAGTTGAATAGAAGAGAATGAAACAACCCCACAGAAAAAAAAAGAAGAAAAAAGAAAAACAGAAGCATGACTGGATGCATGGATGCATGGATGGAAGGATGAATGGATAGGCACTTGTGTTTAGCCAAGTCCTAATTGGAACTTACCTGCCTGCTGGATTCGCTCTTGCTCCGTTGCATTTTATAAAAATGTAAATTGGCACACACAAACACACACACACATACACAAACACAGAGGAGAGTACAAGAGCGTGAATTTAGCTGGGAAAGCTGCTCCTGATCACTAATACATGGCCACCAAGTGATGCTCTCTTTATTGCAAGAGAGTGAGCCTAGCTTGAAAAGCTGTTGCTGCTGCTGCTGATCACTAATACTAATACATTTTCACTATTTAGTCCTCTCTCTCTCTCTCTCTCTCTGCCTCTCTGTTTATTGCATCAAATTCAGGACAGCGTGCATATTAGCAAAAGGGGCGCTGCCTAACAAATGTGGAACACACGAAGCTGTTGCAGCGCGGCCGGGCGGGCGGGCGGGCGGGCGGTCGGTCGGTCGGTCGCTCGTTTGGAGGGGTTACTTTGCGTGTATTTGTAAAAACAATTTACAATACGCGAAAGGTGAGCGTCGTTTCAGCTCTGGCTCCGGCTCTGGCTCTCACCACCTTTGGTACGCCGCTGGCGCTGTCACCCCCGCAGCAGCAACAGCAATCCAAGTCGCAGTCGCATATGGCGGCCGCCTTTTGCGTTTTCGTTTGGTCAGCGCAAATATAAAACTGTGGAAAACACTGTGTGATATTTGTCTGTGTATACAATACAATACAATACAATATATTATTTGCGTACGTTTTTACTTTTTGAGCATACGAGTTTTATTTTATTTTCTTGTTCAAAATGCGTCTTTTGCATACGATATATTGACGATGTTTTCGTATGTATTTGTATGTATGTATGTATGTTGCCCGCCGACCGGTTTGTTTGCTACGCAGAATTTTCTTTTCCACTTTCTTTACGCCGCCCTTGCACTGTTTTTGTTATTGGATGTTTTGTATTTGGTTTCGTATTTAATTATTTTCCGTTGCAACATTCACTTTTTTTTTCATTATTTACACAAAACGTACACGTTCGCCTTTCGCTTTTTATTGCATTAATTATGCATTTATTGCGCCAATTAGCAACGTTTATGCCCGAAATCGCCGTTCTCCTCGGAAGCAATAGGCAAGCAGTACGAAGACAAAACAAAAACCACGAGAGCAATGTGAACGTATGCGGGTAAACATGAAATGTCAAAACTTCAAGAGCTGAAAAGCAACTATTCAATCCAACTGCTAGTATTTAAATACACACTAGTCATTTAAAAATACCAACAATAAATCATATGTTTCTAAATAAAATATGCAGTATTGGGGCACAATTTACTTTTCAATTCAAAATTTTAGAAATGTAGTAGTTATTGCTGTCATTTTGTAACAAATATCTTGGCTTTAATTTTGCGCTCATTCAAAATAACTATCGATAGGCCACCCTCGAATATCGATAACAGCAGAGAATGCAGGGAATCGTTAATGTCCAGCTCTAAGCAACAACAACTCTAGTGAAAAGTCGGCAGAGAAATGCAACGCCAAATTAACTAAATTTGTAGCGAAAAACAACACAAAAGCCACAAAAGGCACACACAACAAAGCCACAGAATATCGGCCGAGAACATCAGGAAACGAGCTGACAAAACTATTTAGCGACTATCGGCGGCTGGCGAACTTTAAATGGCCAATGGCAATGGGAACAATATCAATACGGACGATGCTGCTGCTGCTGCGGCGGCGGCTGCAACAACAACAGCACAAGAGCAACAGCACCTGACAGGCGACGGCAGCGGAGCCTGCGGCGATGTAAAGCTGCCGGCTAGCGCTCGCGGAAGCAACGTCAATGATTTGGTCGCAGACTTGTGGCTCAATGGCAGCGGGAGCAGCAGCAATCGCGGCGACTACACAAATATCCGGGCCACAACTGGCGCAGCAGCAACAGCGAGCGCAGCGACCGTAACGGCAACGGCAACAACCAGTGCGACGCTCAGCTCGAATGTTGGCTCTTCCACCTCCACATCTACGTTTTCCTTTAAGCACTTTCTCAACAGCAGCGGCACAATAATTGCGCCAAGCAGCACAGTGACATCCCTGGATCCAGCGGTCGGCCCGAGCAGCAACAGCGCCGGCGGCTGCAGCAGCAGCAACACAAGTGTTACTGCGCCGGCAACGTCAACGTCGCTGCAAACGTCGACGGGCGCACGGCCGAAAGTGCCGCAATCGGCATCCGTTAGCCACATGCAGCCGGATTTAAATGGCAGCGCCGCCTCCAAAATGAAACGTTCGCCGCGTTTCAGCTCCTTTGACTCGCAGGCGAGTCTGGCCGAGTATGCGGCATGTGGCGGCGGCACCGGCGGCAGCTCTGGCTCCGGCACTCGACTACGTCCGGACCTGCGTCTCGAGGTGGAACGCAGTGGTGTTATGTTGGATTGCGACGACGACTATGATCATGTGGGCCTGGCCCAAGTCCGAAACAGTCGCCTCTACGATGAGCGCGCCGACGATGGTGAGTAGCTGCCATCAGCCAAAAGTTGCTTCTAATATAGATGAGGATGATTTCTGATTTCTTCTCCTTAGACATATTTCCGTCGGCAGCCTCGAATTTGCACGCGTCGGCAAGCAGCTCGCGTTACGTGCCGCGCTCCTATTCCAGCTATGATATGCCGCCGCAAGCTGCTTGCGCCGCAGCATCGCCCCGTCGTCGCGCTGCGCTGCGTCCGAATCGATTGGTTCTGTCCTCGGCGGCCAAAATGAAGCTCGATCTGCCGCTGGACGCGTCAAACGTGGCTGGCGCCGCATCGGCTCTGCCAGACTTTGTGCAGGATCATTTGCCAGACGCCTGGTGCCAGGAGGCGCATCTCAGCTCGCCGCCCAATTCGCCACTGGGCGCTGCGGAGGCGCCCAGTTGCAGCGGTGCTATGGGCGGCGGATCCCTGCTATTGCCCGCCGCCGTGGCCGCTGGCCTGCCCAGCGTCTCGACGCTGGCAGCGACTGTCGGCGAGGCTGCTGGCTCGACGGGTAAAATGCTGCCCGATTTTCTGTCTGACGGCCCTATCCTGCACTCGTCCCAGCGTTTGGCAGACGTGGCTATTGGGCTGCCCTCGAATTCCATAGATTCGCCGCCGCAGGAGGCCGATGCAGGCACGTCCACGCTGCGCCAGGAGAACGAGCGACTGCAACGCGAGCTGCAGGAGATCCGAGTCGAGCTGAATGTTCAAACGCGTCGCGCCCAGGAGTTCGAGCAGCAGCTGCTGGCACTGGCCGATGCGCGACGGCGCGAAACACTGGCAGCCACGGCCCAAACACAAACTACGCAACGTCTGCGGCGTCAGGTGGCACAGCTGGAGGTGAATTTCTCTAAAATTTTCCATTATAGATACAAATTTGTATACAATTGAAAATCCTTTTAAGGCGGACCTTTTTGAGCTGCGCGGCAGCAGCGATCAGGTGTCGGGTGGTGCAGCAGCCGCAGCCGCAGCCGGTGGGGCCTCGGTGATGACGCCGGGCAGCAGCCACAGCAGCAGCAGCAACACATCGCGTCCGTCCAGAACACATCAATTGTCGCGCGATTTGCTGCGCGCCGCCGACAATGCAGAGCAGAATTTAAGGTGAGTTCTCGAATCACACTTGGACCACTTGCAGAGCTATAATCTTCCCTTCTCTCACTCTTTCTGTGCCACAGGCAATTGCTGGCAGGCGTGGATAATCTACGCCAAATGGCTGCCAGCCTGGAGCAGCCAACGGCGCCAGCGGCCACGCCCCGTAGCCCCAACTCGGACTCGTACACCGACTTTAATTAGGCGCGGAAACTTGTTTTGGGTGCAGTTGTTGTTGATGCTGTGTGTGCTTTTTACTCAAATTGATTCAGTTTTGTTATTTGTAAGCCGCCCAACCTACGCCACCTAGCGCTTGTTTTTAGCAACCGAAAACCTTTTTATATCGAGCTATATATATTCATATATATATATATCTATATACAAATAAGTGTATTGCGAAGGATACGAACTGGAGGCAATGGAGGCAACGGAAACGGAGCATCAAAGCGCAGACTCGTGATGTTGATTGAATTACCGGATATATATATAAATTATACTATAACAAAGTGTAGAATATATTTTAATTTTGTTGTATAAAAAAGCAAATGTTTATAAAAAAAAAAAATTATCGAAAATAATAATTGTAAATTAGTGCAAAATGCAAGATCAACAAAAATAAACTAAACACACGGCACAGTTGCATTTCGAAATGCAAAATTTAATAATATCGAAATATTAAATCTGCTAACAAGGGAATTAATTAACAATTAAACGATAAACTGCAGCAAACACTTTGGATCACAGAGTCCATATATTTATATATTTTGTTAAAAACAAAATTATATTTAAATAAATAATGGAAAACAAGAATCTGTGCACTTGTGTTCGTAGTTTGTGCTTCAATCAACAAATGAAATAAATTTCTGAGCAAACAAAAAATAAACTTTTCTTTTAAATTTAATTGGGATTAGATCAAGATATTCTGTTAAATCGAAACAGATCTTTAACATGCCTTGTAAAACTCTGTGTGAGTAGAAATAATTCTCACAACTGTCAAGAAAATGTTAGCCAAAAGTGAGAGTACATCATGCATCACATATGTCATATTTTCCTCAATTACCTGTAAAGGGCATTGATAACCCGCAGAGATCCCAGCCTTGACATTGTAGCGCGTCCAATAGATAAAGACATCTCTGTATAACACACACACACACGTACACGCATACTCTCTCACAGTCTCTCTCGCTCTCTTCCATTTTCCAGCCGATTGGGGATTGTTTACCATTCCAGCGACAACCGGGCGCTGGATTTGCATTCCATTTTGTTCAGTTGGGGTTTTGACGTCGTTACGCGCGGACCGATTCCATTTGATTCGTGCGAGATCGGCGGCCAATAACAGTTTTATTTTTTACAGTTTCCAGTGCAAAAGCAAATTTGTAAGAGTCTAAACAAGCAAACACATTAATCAGGAAGTGCAGCATTAACTTGCAGCATTTGCATTAACATCAGGAAATTAACAGCTGTAGATTATAACAGAACAGACAACATGATGTCGAAGCGAATATTGGGTGAGTGCAAATGTTGCCTTAGATACAAATATGATTGTGTTTATCATAACTTTAACTTTAAAGAATTTGTAATTTAAAAAACGCAAAGTGTGGACTCTCAATTGCTTTATCACCCAAAGAAAAAGTGAAAAACAACAATGTTTGCATATTTCACACAACGCGACGAATAAATTTTGATGATCTTAAATTTGAAATTTTATTTTTAGAACATGCCTATGTGGGGCATATTTATTCGTATAATCATTTAATTTGACTATTCTGTGACCTCTAATGCAATAGTTATCAGACCATGCTCATAAATTTAAAACAATCTTATCAATAAACATATTTTTGGCTATGAACAAATTTCATCCCATTTTCAATATTCTTTTGATATTGTTAAATAAACATTTTCTAAACAGTTTTAACTACACGTGAAATTTGTGCAATCTTTCCCTTAATACTTATCTAATTTATGATATTGTACAAATTATTATTTCTATTACCAAATCGTATGCCTAATTTGTAGGGTATGCAAAGGTATTCCTGTTATCACTTTGTCAACTTTTCATTCAAATTCAACTTTAATAGAAATGTTTGTCGACCTTCCGACCCACCGATTGGAAACTGCGCACATAAATGCGGAACGTGATATGAGACTACTCAAATACCCTGCAATCCCTCCCAGCACCAACAACTGCTACGGGTCTAATCACGCCGGCTCGCGTGGACAGCGTGTGATAAGCCGTCGTGCCTGATAATTGTACAGGTGCTCTTGTTGTTGTTTTTCATTGATAAGCGAGCGAGAGATAAGCTTGCACTTGGCCGGGGGGCATTGCGTCTAATTACTTTCATAAATTGTTACCTTAGGACAGGTTGCCGGGTGTACTTCCAAAATAAAAATAAAAGAATCGAATGTTCTTTTATTATACCCTTGTTGAGGGTGTTATCAGCTACTCACTAAACTTGGGCAAGAGACCATAAAATGTATTTATAATTCGAATAGATTGACAAACTAAGGGTTTAGTTATCTATATGAACTGTTTAAGTTTGCAAGTTATATTCATGAAATTTTATATATAGCATATCCAGGAATTGAATTTAATGGAATTCTATCAAACGTTCTTTAACGTAAAACTCATATTCACAAACTTTCAAATTTATATAATTTTATAAGCATTTTATCAAAGGGTATTCGATAGTTGGTCAATCCGTATTTTCATATTGATTTAGACACATGTTTAAATGAATTTGAATTTAAAGATTTAATAATTTAAATAATTAATCAATTATTAATTTTATAATTTATGTAATTTTATAAACATTTTATCAAAGGGTATTCGATAGTTGGTCAATCCGTATTTTCATATTGATTTAGACACACAAATCTGAGTATTTTAAACTCTATAGAAGTGTTTAAATGAATTTAAATTTAAAGATTTAATTAAATGCAATTGTTTAAGGAACCCAAGACCCCAGAAATATGTGCGCATTAATCAACAATTGACTCAAATTACGCAACAATAACAATGTAAAATGCAATTTCCCTGCAGCCCCGCAACCAGTTTTGTTGTGCACAACTCATTGAATATGCACAATGGCGATCCCATTACCAAGATATCGGACAGACCTTATATGGCATAGCCGGATCGGAAACTGCGACTCAAGCGGATTCAAGCCAGACAAATGGGTTTGGTTGCACTGTCTCGATTTCAATTTATTTAGCGCCCCTTTCGGTTCGCCCCTCGTCCATTCGCCTGGCGCTTGACCATTGTCAATTTGCATTCTCAAACGTTCCATTTATTTATTTATTTACGTATGAACCATGTAGACATCGAGCTGCACTCGTCGCTTGAGTTCATTTAAATATATTAACTGAATGTCACGTGTTTTGAGATCGGCTCTCACGCTTGACCTACCTGAAATAGTTACATCTTTCTAATGGAGATTTCTTAGAAGATGTTTGTTTTTTAGTGTGTTTTTCTTTTTTAAGCTGACAAAGTTTTTAGGGCAAGTTTTTGCTGAAATAGTTCATTAACTGAATAGCCTGTCAATGCTGGCTGGATATTTCTATAATCTTTTATATAACAAAGGGAGAAAATAAGGATTTCTTCGGAACACCGTTATAAAAATGTTCCTTACCATTTTGTAGATTTATGAGGAATATCTTAGAAAACATATTTAGATAGTTTGTGAGGAGCACAGATAAACCAAGTCCGTCTTTAGTCAAGATATCTATATAACCATATAAGTTTTCTATACAACAGCCTACTTTAGGACTGATCGCTTCTATGGTAGCTACATGATATAGTGGTCCGATCCGATGTGTGCAACAGAAAGACAGAACTACGAGTTTCAAGAAAGTGACAGACAGACATGGCTATATCGACGCGGCTGTTGATACTGATCAAGAATATATATACTTTACACATTTCATGAGAAAAATTTTAATACCCTCTACAAGGGTATACAATTTCGTTAGTTCAGCCTTCTTTTGTAACTTTATGGTCTACAAAAATATATAAAAATCGGAACTAACTCAACATTTTCCTACGATTTACCATAAATGTTAGTATCTAGCTTTTAATGAGCAGGAAATTGGCATATAAATGAATGAATTAATCAAATTACAAAAGCTAGGTTTGTTTTGAATTCTAATTGGTACTATTTATCATTTTATCATATCTATTAATCAACAAGTAAGAGGTTCTAGTCGGGAGCTCCCGACTAGGGGATACCCTGAACCCTCTTCTTCCAACATCAGATGCATATATATATTCTATTTTAGAAGCTATATGTCAAGATTGGTGACTCTAGCTCTTATTATTTACCAAAATTGCAAAAAAAAAAAAAAAACAGGATATCGATATAGATTTTTGTCGATTGCTTGGAAACGGAGGAAGTTATCGATTATCGGAAACAAACTCGAACTGCGCGGGAGCTAGGAACATCTACATCTACAATTTCAAGTCCTTAGCTCTTATAGGTTCTGAGATCCTTGCGTTCATACATACGGACGGACGGACAGACAGACGGACATGGCAAGATTGACTCAGCTATTTATGCTGATCAAGAGTATATATACTTTATGGGCTCGGAGAAGCTTCCTTCTGCCTGTTACATACATTTCGCACAAATACAATATACCCTTATACCCATTTTTAATGGGTTCAGGGTATAAAAATGTAATTATTTCATATAAATATGTAGGCATTAGACTGAAAAGCCCTGAAATTAATTACATATATTAATAAAAAAGTATATATATTAATAACAAAAAATTCCCCAAGTTCTACGGATAAAATGAAACAATATTTCAATCAACATTGTTTAAGAGAATAAAATAGCTAATGATTTCCTGCTAATTGAGCTTTCAAAACGTTTCCACTTGAAACTTATCTTGCTGCTTCTCTCTGCCCTGCAGCTCACACAACACGCAAGCTGATCCGAACCAGCTCCACATTGCACTCGAAGGCGGCGCCGGCGGTCATGTCGCAGCAACAGCTCGAGATGCCCGAATGTGAGCATCGTCCGGCGGCGTACAATGGGCCCAGCTACGAGCAAATTCTGAAAACGCGCAAGGCCCATCTGACGCCCAATTTGGTGGCGCACTTCAAGAAGCCACTGGTCATCCACGCCGGCCACATGCAGTGGCTGTACGATCACGAGGGCCGTCGCTACCTGGACATGTTTGGCGGCATTGTTACCGTCTCCGTGGGCCACTGTCATCCGTAAGTGTGCGCTGCCCCCGTCATTTGATCCATTTTAAGAGATCTATATATCCTCTAGCAAAGTTAATCAGGCGCTGAGTGAACAAATCTCCAAGCTGTGGCACACGACCAACATTTATATGCATCCCAAGATTCATGAGTATGCTGAGCGTTTGGCAGCCAAGTTTCCGGGCAATCTCAAGGCCGTGTGCTTTGTCAACTCGGGCTCGGAGGCCAATGATCTGGCCATGCTAATGGCACGTCTTCATACCGGCAACCAGGATATATTGACCTTCCGGAATGCCTATCACGGCATGTCGCCCTACACAATGGGTCTGACGGCACACTCCACGTGGCGCTATCCGCTGCCGGGTGTGAACAATGGCATCCTGCATGTCATGAATCCAGATCCGTATCAGGGCATCTGGGGCGGCTCGGCTTGCCGGGATTCGCCCGTGCAGACAACGCGCAGCTGCAGTTGCGCGCCCGACAATTGCCAGGCGGGCACGAATTACTACAATGAGCTGGAGCAGACGTTCAAGTACTCGCTGCCCCGTGGCAAGGTGGCCGCCATGTTCGCCGAGTCCATTCAGGGCGTCGGCGGCACAGTGCAGTTCCCTAAGGGTTACCTGAAGCGAGCGGCAGCGCTGGTTCGTGCCAATGGCGGACTCTTTGTGGCTGACGAGGTGCAAACAGGCTTTGGCCGCACGGGCGACCATTTCTGGGGTTTCGAGGCGCACGACTACACACCGGACATTGTCACCATGGCCAAGGGCATTGGCAACGGCTTCCCGCTGGCTGCAGTCGTCACCACGCCGGAGATCGCCGCCTCGCTGGGCATGGCGCTGCACTTCAATACCTATGGCGGTAATCCTATGGCCAGCGCCGTGGGCATGGCCGTGCTAGACGTCATCGAGGAGGAGAAGCTGCAGATCAACTCCCTGGAGGTGGGCACCTATTTCCTCAAGTGCTTGGAGGAACTCCAACAGCGATTCGAACTGATCGGCGATGTGCGCGGAAAGGGACTGATGATTGGCGTCGAGCTGGTCAACGATCGGGAGACGCGTGCGCCCCTGGCTGCGCCCCATGTGCTGGACATCTGGGAGACGTGCAAGGATATGGGTGTGCTCTTCGGTCGCGGTGGTCTCCATGGCAATGTAAGTTGTGGCTGTCTGGCAACGCCAAAATATTTGTGTGTCCATATTAAGTTGGCTGCGCCTGAATATCGTGTGTCCATATTAAGTTGGCTGCGCCTGAACATTTCACGAAATGTTTCGAATGTATATAAAATCATCTTTCGGGCTGCCCATTGTGTTGTCTGTTGTAACTCTTCCATAAGATCCTACACAAACTAATCAGTATTATGTTTATGTTCCCTTTTCTGTTCCTATCCCTGTCTCCATGCATCTCTGTATCGAATGTTGTACCCACAATTCTTTGCAGGTGCTGCGCTTAAAGCCGCCGATGTGCATTAACCGCACCGATGTCAGGTTCGCCGTGGATGTTCTCGGCCGAGCCATAGCGGATACATTGGCCAAGCAGAAATAGATATCGAAATTCAGATTGAAATCGGCAATTAACTAGAGGAAGAGACTTTGCCATTTGAGAATGCATTTATAGAATAGCTTAATTCATTTACGTAATAAAGAACAAATTGAAGACTTGTACCGTAAATATCTTAAAACTAGTTCATTTTTCCAATATATTTAACTCGACTTCGTCTATTTGGAATGCGTGTTAGAATATCGTTAACATATCATATAAGTTAAATATGCACAGCATTTTTAAACACCATGATCTAATTCGTAAACACTTTGGGTTTATTTTCCTAACTCATGCTCATACGCAAGTTTCCTAACTTCAAGTATGTATAATCCTATAATTATATTCCAATTTTTGTTTAATTAATTGCCTAACAATTGACTTTACTTTATTTATTTAGGTGCTCAGCTTTAGGCCGCCCCTGTGCCTCAGTTACGAGGATGTGGAATTCACTTTGCATATTTTAGAAACAGTTTTCGTGGAGCACATGAACAAAAGGCCACGCAGCTGGAGAACAATAACAACCAGAAGTCGTGGCATTCACTGACATTCCAAAACGTGAACATTTATATAATATTTATTACTTAACATAAGATCAATATAATTGAGCAGAATTTGAGAGCTTAGAGAGCGCAAATCGAATCGAAAAGCAGACTGTGAGCATTTTACATTCCAATGACACTGAGCGAGGCTTCAACTTAAATGTAATCATTTTTAAAATTGTATGTATATATATATGTTGTATATAGATACTTTAGGCACAGCATTTTCATTTAAGAGAGTTCGATTCTGTTTTGGCAAAGACTGTACAATAGTTAAACTCTCGCAAATATTTACGACAATTCATTTAGCATTTGGTATGTTTTTCTGTTTGATTCTAAATTTCTAATTTAATTAGTTAACAATAATTTAATTCACTTTGCAAATGCAAACTATATCTAAGCACTATTTAACACAATTCCTATTCGAATCAGCAGACGCCATCGTCAGCGGGCGTTGTCACTTCCGGCTGAGGCAGGAGCCCGATCTCCGTTGGCTAGACCTGTATATCAATGGGTTTGCCATCATTGATGTACTCCGACGAGAGCAACGTTTCCGACAGCTCCTTGCGTGCCTTGTGCACCACCCAAAACATGAGCGCGAGACCACAAATTACCTTAGGTTTATAAAAAGAAAATTAAATTAACTAGAACTTATGTTTATAATACAAAATTAAACTATTAGCTTGTGTTCTTTACATTGCTAAATTTGCTTATTAATTAAAGTATTTAGTTAGAGTAGATTAATATAAAATTAGAATACATTGCATACTTTTAGGCGCTGTGCGAATATTAGAAAATTCTTATTAAATCTTAAAACGATTCCCACTGTGAAACAGAGAAAAAGTAAACAAAGCAAAAAGCATTTCCTCATCCTTTAGACTGAAATTAAAGCACAATAAAAGGGCAAGAGGCGAACTAATGCACTTTGCGCAATCAACCATCAAAACAAGCCCTGGAAAATTGTAAGCTTAATTTGGCGTGTTAGCTGCAGGTGCAAGGCAAACAAAAATCAATAAGTCTTAGAAAGCCAAACAAAATGGTTGCAAAGCGTGTCACACAAGGTTAACCAATATATATATATATATACATATGTACTAGAGAGCAGCTCACCTCGATCACGAAGCTAATGTAGCCCGTCAGTTTGGTATTGTGATCATTGAGCACCTCGTGCATGGAGCGCAGCGTGGAGCCGAGATAAACATTTATCGTTTGGGCAGGCAACAGGCCCAGAAATGTGGCCAGATGATAGTCCCGCGCTTTAATCGAACTGATCTGTAAAGAAAAAAGGATTCAGAGTGTGTTAATATGGTTAGACAATGTCGAATTCGGATCGAGCCCGGGTTTCCAATCTGACCGAACCCTAATCTAAAACAGATACTAGCCCTCAGCCTCAAGGCTTACATATCTAGTTTCTAGCCATTGAATTTATCCAACATTTTGGCTGAATGCCAATTTTGGCTAGAGCTCAAATTTAGAGTCCAAATTAACTTTGAAAGTCCTACATTAAAATGAATTGAACACCCACTTCAGCGATTTTTGAGATTCCACTCGCAGTTGTGGAAAATTGGCGGTTGTGTGCAATTTATTTTGCGAGAATCGCAGATTCGTAAAAAGAAACAAATATCGAAGATCGCAAAATATATTTAAAATAAAATATGTATTTTCAAGAATATTGAACAGTTAATAAATTTGTAGTTGCACATGGAAAATGACAATGCTTTAACCAAGTTGAAATTTATAAAGAAATTATCGACGCATTTCATTCAAAAAATATTATTTAATTTATAGCGAGCTAATGCTTTACAGTCGTTGCTTTTATATACTTTAGAAATTGTGCTGCAGTTGAAGATTTAGCAAAACCAGTTTGTACAATTTCAAGTTCAATGTTTTCATCTACCTTTCAGCTGGACTTTTGTTATTAATTTTTATTATGGTTGGCAACAGCAGTTGTTGTTCTTGTGAGAAATCCGCGTAAATGTGACTAATGCGTCATTATAAAGTGTGACTATTCCAATTCCAATTCTTAGGTTGAAGTCAACGCAGATACACTTTGTTACAAGCGAGGCCCTATGAAACTTAAATCAACTTGGAGCTTTACGTAATTCGAACGCCCTACTTTGTATGTGAGACATGTGAGAAACTTCTCTGTGGACGCATTCCCAATACGTAAACATCAGAATAACTGTATAAATATATACACACGAAAATAAGCGCCAAACGGATGCAAACAGACGCTTGACTGTGCCGATTGTGTCTATATATACTTGGTATATATGCGAGTACACAAGTATACGCATTAAGTATAGACATATGTTCGGCCCTGACTGATAGTCGACAATAAAAATTAAACTGAAAGTTGTAAAGATAATCGCGAGCTGGAAGGCAGCCTAGGTCAAAGACGAAACAATGCAATGGAGTTCAAGCATTCGATACTTGGCTGAGCTTTAGCAGATAAATATAGCTATGGATTAGGGATTATATATAGTTAGTTAGTAAGTTAGTTGACTTACTCCAAAGATGACATTCTGCAATCCGAATGGTATGGGCGTTAGACGCGTGAAGAGCACCACCCGAAACGCCTTGGGTCCAGATATAACGCGCAGTATAGCTCGTCCAGTCTCATTTTTGATCAGTCTGAAAATAGCATCAAGCAGAAATGAAGCAATTAAAGAAATAAGAAAACAGCTATAATCGGCAGGCCGAAACGAAAATACCCTTACATTACAAGTATAATTGAATTCTAAGAAACTGGCCGAACAAGTGAATTATGTGCTAGTTATAAAGAATACTAGAGCAAAGAAAAGCATAGTCTTCTATAAACTATAATCATATTTGTATTATGGGAACTCATCTAACCAAGTATTACATGGGATATACGCTTTTTAAATAGAAGCCTAACAACTCTTGAGCTGGTTATGCTATAAATCATATCTTAACTCAACTGAAACCAGTTTCAATTGCATTTCACGTTAGCTGTCTAAAAACTAGATTAGCCTAGTACAGTAAATACCCCCATCTAAACGACACTCAACTAATTAGTATTCAGCTTTATGATTTGCGTTACGCATGAACTGTCAATTATCGAGGTATGTGTGTTTATACAGGTAATCAAAGTTCAATTTGAGTCCGACAGGTAAACCAGTTTAGCACCAAATACCCAAATTAATGGGCAACATTTTCGTCATTTAGTGGCCAGGCCTTAATTTATGGCTACCTCATTTGTTAACCATTTGTCCGATTCGATGTGCAGATAGTTTCTGCTGTTGATACGAAGGTGGTTTCGTTACTTAAGTATCAATAAATGCGATTCACAATTATCATAATTAGTTATAATTGCAATGTGGAAACTGTGTAGAACTGTGAACAAAATAATGTGCGACTCTTGTGTACGCTCATATCTCATTTCCTCTCTATTTGGTGTATTCCGTGGCAGATAAACATTTACAAATGGTAAGAGTGCTAGAGTCGAAAATACCCTGTATTTGAGATTTCGAATGTAAACTAACGGGTATTGCCCGGCCTTGCCCGTAAAACGTTTTGGTCTAAACATTTTAGACATTACCTTTCTACTAATTGATATCTATCTAAATTGATATATATCCACCTTGATCTCGACTTCTATAAAAAAATATGTTTTAAGTACATCGAATAAGGAACCTAGTGTTGAAACGGTTTCCCCGCACATGTTAGTCTTGCGGTGAGAATCTTGAAGTAAAAGCAAATTCTCACAAAGCACTTTGATAATGATTTTGAAGTTGATCGAGTGGTAAGTAAAAGAGTTTCATTCCAAAGTTATTTCGCCATTTTTCCACACATGCGAGTGGAATTGCCAGAAACCTTCTTAACTTACCAATCAGTAAGTCAGTCAGTCAGGACAAACAGTTTTATATATAGGGATAATGAAGCCACATAATATCCAGAAGTCTTATAGATTCTGAGTTCGCCAAATGTCTGCTCTATAAATCTCATAAGCTTGCTCAACTTCACATATACCCATATTCAAATTTGACATAACAAATTTGTGTTTACAAAATTTACCTTTACAGGGTATTCAAATAAATTATTATTTTATTGACATATTGCAATTATTTCAACAAACTTTGAAATGCAGCCCAAGAAACATACGTAACTTCTACTCAAATGCCTATTTATAACAGTCCATAAAGTGTTTTTTTATTGACTGATAAAGCAATTGAACCATAGAGCAATTGAGTTGGGTGCGGGAGCCAATTTGATAAGGCACATATTTATATATATCTATATAAATATATATAGGAAAGCGCCAAGCAATGAATTTTTTGGGTTTGATTGTAGCTACACGAAAACTAAACTAAAATATTTATTAAATTATTTAACGTTTTTTTCTGATCTTGCGGGTTGAGCCAGTCAAGCCAGTCAATATACTCTGTACGCGAAGGCCAAGCGAGTATATTGAATTATATTCACATTTTTAATTTCTTACTGCAATGATTCAGATTTTCAATCGCATTCTCTTAACTTGTTTATTATTAAATCCCTTCGCTTATAAAAGATATAAACACACACATTTATAATACATCGTTTTTTAATACCAACTTCAGGCAAACAAAAAATTTTGTAGCATTTACTGTCTTTGTTCTATTGTTCTCTTATCACAAATCCTCTTATCACATGCAACACGTGTTCATTCTCTAGAGCCGCTGGACACCTTGATATCTAAATGATGATTCTCTTCTATTTTGGTTGAAACTGGCAACTGGACTTGGTTGACACATTTAGTTGACCATACTTTTTGCGAATGGGCGTTTTTTGGAGCAGCGCAATTCCTCAACATCGCGACTCTTGGACACGCAATCGCCCGTGAGTAGCTCCAGTTCGCGACTGTCGGTGATATGAATGCAATCGTTCAGAATGGAGAGGACGCCTCGGAATTCCGGATAGGCCTGGAGGCAATCGTTTGGTATATATATGGATAGCTGCATGGAGATCACGTTGCCGGGCATCAGATGATAGTTGAGCAGCTGATCGCTGCTGTCTCCATAGTCCAGGCCCACGTGCCGGACCAGAGTTGAAAAACAGTTGAATCTAGCAACTGCCTTCAACATGTCCGATTGTCGTTTCAAATTGGTGGGCAGCACGCGCAGCTCCTGGAGCTGCTCCGCCAACAGTATAAGATAGGCTGCGTGCAGTTCGCGGGGCGTGCGCACAACCGAGTTGGAGGTGCGAATGAGAAAGCACAGCTTAGAGCGCATCTCGACCAGCATGTTATAGAGCATCTTCTGGGGCGGCTTAAAGCGTCCACAAACGGACCAATATCTGGCCAGCCCGCCATAGTAGCCAGCGTACTGGCAGGACGCATCCATTAGCCAAACATTGCCTATGCCCGGCGCCAGCCTGGGCTCATACGGCAGCGGCAGATGTGCGTGTCGCTCGCGGCACTTGTGGGCAAACATCAGACCCAACTGGCGGTCATCATGGTGCGCTTCGTGGTCAGCCATCAGCTCCTGCAGAGACTGAGCTGCTATTGAGTTGGCGCGCCTTATGGCGACCAGTTCCCGCTTGGTCTTGAAGCTGCGCACTTGCTGCATCAAATGACGCGGACAATCGATGGGCAGCCTGAGCTCATCGGCCACCTCTTTTATGACCTGACTCACGGGGCTGTTGTCTGTGGTGTACCATAGTTTGGCGGTGACATGCTGCAGCCTCTGGTGAAGCGTTTTCCTTAGGCAAAGCATTGGCAAAACCTCGTCCACATTGAAGCGCTGGCAGGCCAGCTTGGCCAGGGCGGGATCGATCTCCTCCTTCTCCAGTGGCTGAAAGAGTATGGTGCGCAGTTCCAATTGCCGATTGCGCATCAACAGCAGCACCACGCCCGGCAGCAGGCAATCGCATACGTATAGGAACTCGGCGCTCTGGCGAAAGGGATAGCCCGGAATGGCCTGGGCGCCGGCCACGATCACAGAATGCGTATTGCCACGCCTTCGGTCCTTGTTATGATCCAGCCGATCCATGACTCGCCAACGATGCAGATTGACCTCTTTCGGCACCATCACCTCGACGCGCTGCGGATCTCCCAAGTGATAGTCTCCGGTTGTCCACTTTGTTGTCAACTGTTGTTGCCGCAGCACGGGCAACGGCAACGCTTGCATTTCCCTCACAAAATCCGATGCATCGATGGTGGGCGGCGCTGGCTGCAGTATTCCAGAGACATTGTCGTTGCAGATTTGACTTTGAGGCAACAGCATGCTGGCCCATGCTCGAAAACCTTTGAATTTTGGTATTACACGCAACATAACTGACAACATTAAAATAATACAGGTGCGGAATCTAAACTAAATGTCAACTGCTTAAAATCAAACGTAAATATTAAAATATATATGTTTGTGAGAGTTAAGCACAAGCATGTACAAGTGTGCTCGACTTGCAGATACCCCGTTGAGTTGACTTGCAAAGGCAATATGAGAACCATACATATAATTTCCCCTCTCTGGCTCTCATAATCCCCGGTTTATGCTTACAAAACCAGATCTGTTGATCGATATTTATCGATTTCGGGATCATTCACGTCAAAATGAGTGCAGCCATGACTATCAGCGTGACGGACACGGCCAGGTTTAGATTATTTTAACAACAAACAGATTCAGTTCGAAAGTTAATTGAGCCATAATATGACTAATTATTCTAACTCAACTCATTGAGAACGCAATTTAAGTTATTGTCAACAAACATCTAGTTTGACAGGCACATGCGAAAGTGGCAAGCGAGTCAACTATAATCTTAATAGATCTGTCACATTCGCTATAATTTGGAGCTCTAAAGCTTCTGCAGAAATATGTAAACGTAATGTAGAAGATAAATAGTTGACAGGCTCCTAAAGTCCACTATTTTAGTTAACATGCAAATTTCTGCAGCCTGTTATAAAACCCGTCGAGTTTGGCTTGGGAAAAGACACTGTCCACAATGCATTTGAAGGTTCTGCAATTGACAATCGTCGCAGTAGCATTTATTTCCAGCTCTACATATTCTGCGAGCTTGGAACGAATTATCAATGGGTCTGCGGCAAGGCCAAAGGAGCTGCCGTATCAAGTGTACTTCTATGCCTTCATTGTGCCTGTAGGCTGGGCAAGAACCTGTGGCGGAAGCATAATTTCCCCGCGCCTAATTCTCACAGCTGCCCATTGCCTAAAAGGCGATATGTAAGTAGATAATAAATCAATTTTTTAAATGATTAAATCAGAGTATGTATTCGCCCTACAAGCACTCACATTGATGTTTATCTGGGCGCGAATAATGTAACAAATATTGAGGAAAAAGGCCAACAACGTTTGCTACTCGACATCTCCCATGTGGTGCTCCACGAGGCGTACAATCCCAACACGTTCATAAACGACATTGCGCTAATCAAACTGCCAGCCGATCTACAATTCGATGACTATATACAAGCAGTTGCTCTGCCCGAAGATGATCTAACTAGCTACTCACATCGAGCGGCAATTGCCAGCGGCTGGGGCTTGGTCGATTGTGAGTAAACTATTTAAAATTGCCACGTTTTGGACTGATTAAGAAACAAGACTTTTACTTGCAAGTTGTTCATCGACGACGAACCGACATACTTCAAAAACTGGATGTAATAGTTATGTCCAACAATGAGTGCAGCGCTGAAATACTTAAGAGAGCCCCGGGCAAGTTCTTTACAAGCTCATTCATATGTTTAATGCCGCCGAAGGGCACAAGTCCATGCAATGGAGATTCTGGTGGACCGCTTGTTGTGAAGGACTCCTTTAACAAGCCTCTACTGATTGGCATCACCTCGCATAGCATCTATGCGTGTGAAAAAGGCGAACCATCAGTATATACACGAGTTGCAGCCTTCTTGGACTGGATTGAGCAAGAGGGTAGAATTCAGTCATGGTAAGAAAAACCCTTTTGTTTTGAATTGTCTAATAAACAAATATGAATTTCCAATAAAAGTTTATTAGTGCCCATTTCTGTTCTTGTCGAAATATGTTATCATTTATGAGATTGAGGAGAGAACTTGGAAGAAAGTTAGCAAATTTGTCAAGCGAGTAGATATAGTCCGTTTGTCAAATTCGGAATACATAGTCTTGTATAGCTCAGACAGATCAAGTTTCCTTTCAAAATCGATTAATATCGATTTTCAGACAATATATCTTAAGCATAACTCGAAGCAGGGTTTATTTCTGGGCGCAATATAATTAATATTTAAATTATTTAATTGGCTTGCCCGTTTTCGGATCTGGCCATTTTTTGTTACTTACTTGTGCACGGCTATCCGATGCCGACAGCTGCGTATGGTCGCATGGGCTATGGCTATGCCCACGTTGGCGCCGAGCAATACCGTTAGCCAGCCTCTCCAGCAGCCGAACAGGTAACCAGCAGTTATCAGCAGCACAAGGTAGCCGACGACAATGGGGAAGCTGACGAGTGTGAAGAGCGCCATAAAGATGACAAAGATTAGCCAGCGATTCTGTGTCTCGATCCAGAAGAGCAGCTCCTTGGCATAGTTGCGCGTTAGATAGCCGGCAATGACAATAATGCCCAGCAGCCCAATGGGCACCAAATAGCTGAGATACCAGTTGCGCATGATAAAGGCGTGCGCGCGCAGCCAGCAGGAGTTGCGACGCAAGCAGGAGGAGCAGGAGGAGCGACTCTGATAGCGTCGATTGCTAGCGCTGCTGGCGGGATTTATAAGAAACGCATCCAATTCGCTGCTCTCCTCATTCGCAATCTCTGCACAGCTGTCGCCGTCGACAGCTGTTGCTGGGATGCACTCGCTGGCGTCCATGTCACAACAGCTACCGTTAGCTTCGAGGGGGTAACGCGTGCTTGTGCCGCTGTAGCTGTTGCTCTTGATCAGCTGTGGCGAGGCCAGGGATGAGCAGGAGGTGGAGGCTGAGCCGATGTGTACCATGGAATCATCCATAATGGTTTTTTTGTATTTGTGCATGTGCATGTTAATGTTGTTTGCATATCTGAATGTGTTAATTTTTGTATATTTATTATTGTTGCTGCTGCTGCTGCTGTAGTCGGTGCTCAGTGCCAGTGTTGTTGTGGGGGCGCTCATTTTGGGCTTGCAATGTGCCCAAATATTTGAACATTTACAGTTATTGCTTGTATATCCCTTTCCCCTCTTTAACGCTGCTTATTGGCATTTCATTTTCTCTTTCACTTTGCATTGTTTTGTTGCTGTCATTCGAAGAAATTTCACTTTTACTTGCTGAACTGCTTGAATTGGAAATATGTTATAAATAACTAGGTAATGCACGTGCAATTTGCAAGTAGGCCGCCAACGAAGAGCTACTCTTTATTTTACATACAAACAGCGGGCACTCAATTTACTTCAATAAACAAAAACCGTTTTTCGTTTTTTTTTTTTTTTGATTCAATTAACTAATAAAAACATATCTAACTGGATCGCTGCCTTAACTGAATTGTTTTAAAATTTATACGCACTAGCAGTACTAAAAAAAAAACAACAGAGAATTTAAAATGCAATCACAATTCGGTTTTTATTTACGAACTTTTTGTCGCACCAAATAAATAACACGCCAACGCGCCGACACGTCCATCCGCGGAGAAACGAAATATCATACTAAAAACTTCAGTGTGACCGCAAGCCGTAAATGCCAAAACATCAAAAAATTCAAAATTAAACTTGATTCGTCGACACTTGAATACTCTATATTAACACATGTACTTTGGTGCAAAACAAAGACTTTTTAACGATTTTAAAATTAAATAAAAAATTGGACCTTTCATTTAAATTTAATTTTTCTAAGTTTTTATATAACAAGTTAATTCTGAAAATGTGTGCTTTGGTCATTCCAACTCCTGATCGGAGGGTATCTTCTTAGAGCTGCGTGATACGCACGCTATGCTCGTCGGATCCTGTAGGACAACCAGACGCAAAAAGGCCAAATTTAAAAGGAAGGCCTGACTAAGAAGCTCACGTTGATAACGCTCGGCCTTGGAGTACATAGTGCGCAGATTTGCGGGAAATTGCACTTGATTACGCAAATTAATATGCTCGTCATGATCCAGTTGCTCCTCCATATTGTAATACGTTCGCATCATGCCCAGAATTGTGTCCTCAGAGGAAACGCGTTCTGTGCCCACCAGATGATTAAACAATCGTGCTGTGAGGAAACGACGCAGGTAAAAGAGATTTGTCTTGCATTCGCCGGGCGCGATGCGCGCCATCAGAGCGTAACTCAGCATTGACGTGACTTGGGCCTTCTGGATGTTCACATTCTGCTGATCAATGCTGCCGGGATTACTACTGGCCTGCGCCATTTGCGGGTTCTCCATTATATAGCAGTCTGCCTGGGGAATTTGATGTGCCACATAGAGGCAGCGACGCACGAGCTCGGCTAAATGCAGTTTCTTGTCGTTTATCTCGTGATGCTGCCAATGGCTAAGCACACATGGTGCATGCTTAGCGTCCGGTATTTCCAGTCGCGCCCAACTAACACTCGTCACACCAATGCGCACTCCCACACTGGACATAATACTCTGACGCTGCTGCTCATCCAAAGCGGGCGTTATAAATGGCGCCGTGCGTGGAGCTTTTTGAGTTTTGACGCTGCTCTGGGTAATGGGTGCTGGTTCGAGTAGACTCTTGTAGAACTTGGTTGCCACCTTTAATCCGAAACCCTCGACATAGAGTATATCGCCAAGCTCACGCAGCGGACCATTGCGTGCTTTCCAGTTGTGCAGTTTGTTTGCGCGTGCCTTTGTTATGTCATATCTACAAGTTAAACATAGTTAACAAGGTACTTTGAGGTGTTCGGGTGACGAAAACCTTAGAAGTTGATCAATGCCGTTCCCGTTGATAACATCCAGGATGAGTTTACGCTGCTCCTCTGTATAAGGTGGCAGCTCGATGGGTTGCTCCGTATCGTTGGCGATTGGTGGCTGATTGGCAAACTGGCGCACATAATTAGTTGTTAAGGCACGCAGTGTGCGTTTTAGTTGAAAAGAAATCATTATTTAATTTAGGACAACGCACAAATTTTAGTTCTTCATAAATTACGCAAAGACCGCCGGTTTGTTGTTATTCATGGTACCAGTGTGACCAGACAAGAAAAGCGGTCAAATATTCATACAAACAGCTGATTGTAGCTGTTGCAGCTGCTGCAGCTACAGCTGTTTGCAGCATCCAAATATTCGGAAAAGTCCATTTACAACTAGTAAACACGTAGTGTAGGCAAGGCGTAATACATTCGTTGAAACTTGGCACGCACGCGACAATAAAGTGGACAGCATGCAGTTTTCCTGGATGAAGGTGGCCATTTATGTGCTGACATTTCTAACATACGCATATTCTGGATACGGATCTAGCACAATTGTGCATCTTCGGGATGCGATCATAGCGGCGGAGGCAATCTTTGGTGACGTTTTTAAGAATTTCATCACAATTGTTCGCAAATTTCGCACTGTGCATGAGGTATTTGATGCAGCCGTCGAGGAAAACTGCGTGTTTCAGTGCCCGGCGCCCGCTGGCGGTGGCACGGGTAAGCATTTGACGCAAACACACATATTTATTATGTAAATCGAATAGCCTTACACTGACGTGTGCTTCTTGTCTTTCAGCGCCGCGGCCCGTGCAAAATAAATTCTATGTGCCCACCGCTGATGGCTGCGGCTCGTTAGGCTTGAGAATCAGTACTGAATACCTTCCCGCTGCCGAAATGGAACCATGCTGCAATGCGCACGACATTTGCTATGACACCTGCAATAGTGATAAAGAGCTGTGCGACTTGGACTTTAAACGTTGTTTGTATAAACACTGCGACAGCTTTGAGAAGTCTATTGCCAGCGACTTGATGACCAAGGGCTGCAAGGCGGCCGCCAAGATGCTCTTCACAGGCACATTAACACTAGGCTGTAAAGCGTACCTGGATTCGCAGCAGCGTTCATGTTATTGTGCTCCAAGCAAATCGACTAACTTTAATGGAAATAAGTACACGAATAGCAAGGAAAAGCAACAGAAGCAGAAGTATGGCTGGAAGGATCGAAATGAAATCTAGCAAGGGCTATGTAGATATAAATACACGTTATTTGTTGTCGTTTGTAGTTCGTTTCGTGTTAGTTTTTAATTTATGGTTGTACTTTTCTACCACCTGACGAATTTTTCTAACTTAATGCCAAAGCTAGCATAGTCTCAGTATTTTTATACAAAGCACAGATCATTAAACAGATATAGTGTGAATTTAATATTACAATTACAATCTCAACAGTTGGCTGGGCAATATTTTGAATAAAGAAGCACGCTTTTTTAAATTTGCCTCGTTGAGACGTTTTTTCAGTATTTATTTTATCGATAATTTAGAACATAAAAGAGTATATTTTCTTATCGAGTCGTCGATAAGGTGAGATACATTTTGTAGTTTGCAACACTAAAAGTTTACTTTAGCCAGCACTTAAACAAGGCAAGCGCAGTAAAAGAGATTTTGCAACCTAAGCTGAAGAAATTTTAATGTAGCTTGAAATTAATTAAATCTTGCAATGGGCTATGATGTCAATCGCTTCCAAGGTGAAGTGGACGAGGAGCTAACATGTCCCATATGCTCTGGTGTTCTGGAGGATCCGCTGCAGGTTTGATAACAAGAAAAATCAACCCAAAACACTTTTCATTTGGTGCTTTAAATATTCCACAGGCGGTCATGTGCGAACACGCCTTCTGCCGTGGATGTATTAATGAATGGCTAACACGCCAGCCCACATGTCCCGTAGATCGCAATGCACTAACTACCGCGAATTTGCGAGCTGTGCCGCGCATATTGCGCAACTTGTTGTCCAGGTAGGTCACCCACGCATATGTGTACTTTATAAAAGAAGGTAATGTGGAATTTTATAGACTGTCGATTACCTGTGACAATGCGCCCTATGGCTGCACAGCTGTGCTAAAGTTGGATGCCTACAATTCGCATTTGGAAGATTGCGTCCACAACCCGAAGCGGCCGTTTCCCTGTGAAAAAGGTTGTGGCTTTGACATACCCAAGGACGAGCTTAAGGACCACAACTGTGTACGAGAGCTGCGCGCGTTAATTGTCAAACAAACTGAACAAATTGGCCAACTCAAGACAGAAATAACTGATCAGCAGCTAACCATCAATGAGCTAAAGCGTGAACTGCAGTTATTCAAAGATTTTATGCGTGCCATGCGCGTATCAAATCCGGCCATGCGTGCCATTGCCGATCAAATGGAACGCGATGAGGTGATACGCTGGAGCAGCGCCTTGGCCAGGGCGCGTGTTACACGCTGGGGTGGCATGATTTCCACACCCGACGATGCGCTGCAGGTAAGAGGAACTGCGTCCGCAGCAGCAACTAACTGACATTACTAACCGCTGGAATTTTACAGCTAATGATCAAACGCGCCCTGTCGGAGTCTGGCTGCCCACCACACATACTGGATAGCCTAATGGAGAACTGCCACGAACGGCGCTGGCCCCGGGGTCTTAGCTCACTGGAAACGCGTCAAAACAATCGACGCATCTACGACAATTACATATGCCGCCGCATACCAGGTGAGTTTCCTGATCAGCAAATTAATCTGCAACTGTTTCCCTGACTAATAAAAGGTTTTTTTATTGCAGGCAAACAGGCGGTGCTTGTGCTCAGCTGTGACAATGTTCACATGACTGAGGATGTGATGGTCGAGCCGGGCCTGGTTATGATATTTGCGCATGGCATCGAATAGGCATTAACCGTACGGCAACTACATTTAACTAAATACTTAATGTATGTCAAACAGTGCTCAGTTTTGTTGTTTCCTTGATCTAATGCATAAGCCTAAGCATAAAACATATTTGTCATATTAATCATTGTAGCGTTAAGTTAAACTCAAAAGCACTTTCACTACTATAAAAAGCGCCTCATGACGAATCTCAAGTTGAAATTTATGTTTAACTTTATTTCCATATACACATAGTTCATGATATATGTACGTGCATATTCCATTTAAACACACTCATGTGTGTAGCAAAATAAGTTTTTAATTAAGCGATCTCAGCAAACAAATTTTGTTATTGTTCACTTAAACGCGCTCGATGCACAGAATATGTGTCTAATTAATTGTGTCTTTTATTTAAGGATCTTTAAAATTTACTTAATGTGTAATTTAATTAAAACAATTTAAAAAATTTTAAATATCACAATTTGTATTGAACTGCCATTAATATGAAGAGTATTGGGTATGCATGCCGTTTGGCAGCTGATGTAGGAATTAAAAGCTACGACACAAAAACAATATCTTCAATATGTGAACATCTATCTATCATCGCATAGTTTCTGATTGATTTTGACCGACAATGCCTACATGAAAAGTGAAGACTATATTTTGTCCAATTTCAGAAAATCCTCTTACCAGGTCATTATCCATGTATATGTACAAATCAATCCCACGCAGTATTTTAAGTTCAAATCACGAACAGCTGCGTAATCGCAATGAAAAGTTCACTGGGTTGCGTCGTCACAACTTTTCGTCGCCCCCAAACCCAGCCTACAACCAGACACACACAGACACACACGAGTTCTGGGCATCATCTGTTCCCGAAAAGGAAATTCAATAAGTCGCCCAACCAAAAGCAGCATCAACGAAATCAAACTAGTTCCTGCATGAGCTTTGAAAAAAAAAAACGAAAACCGGTTACGGCTTTTGTAGACGTTTTTTTTCTCTCTCGTTTCATTATACAAAAAGTTGTTTAAACCTTTGTCTTTTGGTGTGTTGTACGTCTTTTGTTTTGTTACATGTGTCAAAAATCGATTATGATATGCTGAGACAGCTATTGGCTAGAAACATTTAAATATTTTTAAGCGTAATTAGCACTTCGAACTAACAGGGGGTGCCCCCTGACGTTTAAAAAGTGAGAGTTTTGGTGGAATAAACCGCAATCGGCGCGCGCAGCTTCGAACAGTCGTCCGTGGTGCTGCGTAGCTGTTGGACGTGCCCTGAACGTTTGGAAGTGTTCACTTAAAGCGATTAACAAAACGCGATGAATTTGTCAATTTGTATGCTAATCTGCGTAGCCGTTTGCCTAGCAGCGACGTCAGCGGCGCCGCAGCTGAGGCAGCGTAACGAGAAGCAGGTTCAGGAGGGATTGCGTAAGTATCAAACTATAGTCAATTCCTATTGTAAATAAGAATAATTATTTGATTTGATACCCAACAGCTCCTAAAGGAGCCACCATCGAGGAGGTAGTCCTTGAGTCGAGTCTGCACATTAAGCCCAAGGCGCGTCAGAATGTCAGACGCGTCCGATCCGCGCTGGACGACACGCTGCGTGAAATCTATGCTGCACACAAGCGAGTGAAACGTCAGTTTGGACGTGGGCGGTTTGGTGGTGGATTTGCCGGCAATGCACAAGTTGGCACCCAGGCCGGCGGCACCAATAGCGGCGTTAATGTGGGTGCAGGTCCCAATGGCGGCACTGCCGATGCCAATGTGAACCTCAATCCACTCGGTCCCCTGGGACCTGATGGCTACAAGCAGGAGCAGTCGGCCTCAAATGGTGCGGCTAACAGCAACTTCAACAATGGCTTCGATTCCGGCTCATCGGCGGCCAATGCACAGGCACAGGGCTTCCAGTCGCAAAGTGCACTTGGATCATTTGGTGCATCCTCCGCCAGCACGGCTACCCAATCGCAGAATTCGAATCCATTCGGCAACAACAACTCTGCGGGCGCCTCACACAGTCAAGTCTACAAGCTACCCAACGGCCAGACCATTAATTTCGCCTCAACAAATAATTTCGCCAATAGTGGATTCGGCAACAGTGCCAACAGCCATGGTGGAGCTGTATCTGTGACTGGGTAATGCTATGCCAGAGTGAAGGTATTCAATGTTACGAAGAATCTTGTGCAATTATGTATAGTCGATTTTCAACTAAATTCAGGTTATTTTTCCCTATTTATACATTTTTTACAATATCGTAAAAAAACCAATAAAATGGCCGCGTCGAAAATAATTCTATAAAAATTTACCAACACATACGTAACGGCTTATTATGCCTTATTTGCTTACCATTTAGTTGTCATTAACCAGTGTTCGCAAACTCCGAAATACATCGAGCAACCGTCATTTTGATAAAATGTTTGTGTTTTAGTTTTATTGGTTCGTTAGTGTGATTGGTGTTGGGCTTAGTCGGATTCGCTTTCGCTTTCCGATTGAAAATCGCCCACTTCAATGGAGAATGAATATTCCTGATCGCAGCCCAAATAGGAATCGCTCATATAGTACAACGTATAATCATGCTTGCCTGGGCTGGGCGCCACAAAGTCAAGCTTGACTTTAGCCTTTTGCTGCAGCGTAAGTCGCTTAATGGAGAGCAGTGAATTGGTTTTGGGATCACCAATGACCACCCACCAGCCCTCCTCACGTTTCTGCGGGAAGAATGGCGCTATAACCGGGCCGGTGACCTCATCCTCGCGCTCTAGCTGCACTACTACATTCACGGTGGATCCAGAATTGATGCGATCCTTGTCAACCACCTCGTAGTTGAGTTCAATGTTTGGATAACGATTGCAGAAACGAGCCACATCGGCCATTTGCACATCGGACAGCTGTAGCAGGCGAATGCGATCCTCATCCTCGAGCTCCATTATATCGAAAACAGTTTCAATTTTCTGCAGAAAAGTACAATTTATACACAAGCTCGTATTTAAGTACGTTCTTACTACCTTTTCCATGCAGCGCTTTATGATGTCTGCATTGAAATGTGGCAACTGCCGCAAGTACGAATCCTTGCTCCACATGGCCTGAGTAACCATCTGTGCCAGTTCCATGGCAGCGACAGCAGGAGATAGCCAGCCATTAGAGCTCAGCACATCCACGCAGGCCTGTATCAGGCGTATAGCTTTGCTGAGTATCTGTTCAGTATCGCCCTGAAGTTCTGGTCCTAGCTGCAGACGTGACAAATGCGCCTGAAGCAACAAGTTAGTTTTAATGTGAGGATCATTGAATCTGAAAATCGAAAGTTCATTAAAACATTTAAATTTGAAAATTAGCTGACATATTTACTTGGGTGCTGTTTCATTAGGCCCAGTTAGTTTATTGGGCAAGCGCTGGGAGAGTGTGCGCAGAACCTGCTCCTCGTGATGCCTCACCACAACATCCTCATACTCTGCTGCTGATGAAATGATCTCCAAAAGACCGCGCACTTTGGTTTTGCTGTTCAACGACAAACTGAAGAGCTCTGCAGGGAATATAGATAGATTAGATTTGGTTTTCAATGTGAAATACCACTCCAGTCTGAGACTTACCAATAGTCGTATAGTTGATGTAGTAGTAGGCGGCAATCATGCCCAAATTCAAGGGCAGCGTGTCCATGTCATCCTCAACGCTAATGCACTTGGACTGCTCCAGATCGCTGAGCGTATTCTCTACGAGCTCCGACAGATGATCAGACAAATGTCGATGCGTTACGCCCTGCAGATTGTAGTAGTTGGGATTCTGGGTTAATCTCCGATAGAGGAATGTCCACGTTAAATAATCGACTGCATCCTGTTTATTCTCAATGGTTTTGGTGACCACCTCAGCATTGAAATGATCGTGCATGCGATGATCCAAATGACTTTCGATTGGCAGCGGCTCGTTGATGAATTTCTTGAAGAAATCCTTCTTGGAGCTCTGACACATTAACACACACTTGGCATCCGCATCCTCATTGGGCCTGTTGGCGCGTCCAATCATTTGCAGCACATCCGTAATGGGATAATCCTCATACGAATGATTTTTGCCGTTGTAGAATTGTGTGTCCATGATGATAACGAGGTGCGACGAGATGCTCATGCCCCAGCACAAGTCGCGAGAGACAACAGCCACCTGCACTGCGCCCGAATCGAACAGCTGCTCGACTAGACGGTGATCCGACGCAGACAAGCCCTCGTGCAGATAGGCAACGCCTTGGGCGAGAGTCTCTTTAAGAGTCTTGTCCGACATGCGTTCGAGGAAGGGCTGTATGTCATCCTCTTCGGCATGGAAGAAGCGATTCGGCTGCAAATCCGAGGCAGCGTACGTCAGTATATCAATAGCTGTGAGACGCGCCTGCTTACGCGACGAAACAAACACAATTACGGGCTTGTGAGAGCTATACTTGAGTATCGCATTATAGACGGGCTTGGACATGGTCGCAATGCGTGTGGCATTGTGGGTAACATTGAAGCCCTGTATGTGCAGCTCCAGTGGTATGGGCCGTACGCTTGGATGAAAGTTGAATGTGGCATTTGGATTGCAGCCCAGCCACTGGGCCACGTCACGTGCATCTGTCAGAGATGCGGATAGTGCTACAATGCGTATCTGCTTCTCGATTTGTGAACTGATGTAACGCATGCGGGAGCAGACAATCTCCATAACAGGTCCCTCCTCACCGCCCACCAGCTGCAGTTCGTCGACGATAAACAAATTGATCTGTTGCACATTCTTGCGCTGCTTCCAGCGACGCGACAGCACATCCCATTTATCCGCTGTGGTTATTACCAGTTGTCCCTTGGCTATTAGCTTAAGATCCGTGCCCGTTTCACCAGTCAATTTGACCACCTTGATATCCAGGCCGCCAAACTTGGTATGCCAGTCGGCAAAGACTAAATCGGCAAGCGCCTCTTGGGATACAAGATAGACGCAACGCCCATCGCTGCTTTGGCTAAACAAACGCATTATGGCAAACTCGGCAATGGTCATTTTGCCAGAGCCCGTGGGTGCGCCCACAAATACATTCTCATCGCTGTTGTAGACCGCATTGAAGACCTGCGTCTGTATGGGATTGAATTGCGGGAAACGTTGCGAATAGAATGCCTCGAATTTGGGCTGACGCAGAGCGCTGATGGGTAGCGGTTGTAAGTCCAGCAGCTCCGTGGGTGGCATATTTTTTTCGGGCAAAATAAGATGCCTAAAGGATACGGGCAGCTGTGTCTCAGCGCCTATCCAGCGATCGGAGACAATTCGCAGAAAGTATTGCGGCGGCAGAGGCTCAAAAACGGGCACAAAGAATTTCAACTGATGCTCATCCTGGGCGTACTTCTGCTTAAGCAAAAAGAATTCATGATGCAGTATAAGCTCCGAGTCGACATCCTCAATCAAAATCCAGAAACCCTCCGACTGACCGTGCACCTTTTCATCCCATTGAAAATCGGGCGTAATTGTGAGCTCCACACGCAGCGTTGCTCGCGTAATGGGCTGAATGTGCGTGGATAACTCCAGTTTGGGGAACTGATGCACGAACTTATGTATGGTTTTGCCCAGCTTGGGTACACGTATTAGTTCACCCAACTCATGAGGCTCCAGATCGTACAGACGCGACCAGGGAAAGTGTTTCTTCTCGAGCTTCTTGGCTATTTCATCGGGCATTTTCTTGAACTGCCGCAACGGTGTCATCGATTGCCACATGCGACGATCAATCATCTTGCAAAGCGTCAGCGTTTTATCCGCCAGCTGCGCCCAGCCGCGGGTCAGGACAATCTCAAATATAGCACGCATCAGACGCGCAGCGGATTGTGTGATGAAGACCATGTCGGACATCAAAGCGAAGCCCTCCAGCTTCAGCTGCGAAATGTAGGCTTGCAGCAGCACATTCACCTTGGCGCTATGCTCCTCAATCGACTCCTTGATGGGTATGGGCACGCGCTCCATAAGCTTCTGCAGTTCTAGTTTCTCCTCCTCGCGCACAGAGATATGTCGAAACTCCGACGACAATGAGAACACGCGAAATAGTTCAATTTCGCTAAGAGTTTGCTTCAGCAGCTGATTGTATGTCAACATTGTCTCGTGCGTAAGATAATAATGGGATGCAATGCGTCCAAGATCGGTAACCTGGAAGTGACCCGTCTTGCGTTCGTATTTGATCAGACCACTGCGCTCCAGGCAACAGGCTGCGGTATGCAGTAAATCTGCGCGATGCTGCTCCAGCAGCGGATCCGCTTTGATCGCATCATGCGAAACGCCATATAACGTGGGATTGCGTAGCATGCGTATGTACAGGTAAGTATAGCCCAGCCAGTTGACCGCATCCTGCAGATGCTGAACGGTGCCCAGAACAATTTCAGCATTCAACATGTCCGGCAGCTTGGAAACAAACTGCGATTCGATGGGCAGCTGCTGATTTAACAGCGACAGGTAAAACTGCAGCTCACTGTGATTCGTAATGAGTATGCCCTCGCCCTTAGTGTCGTATTGAGGACGTCCTGCGCGTCCCAACATCTGCAGCACATCCAAAGCGCTCAACTCGACCCAGCGACCCTTCTCCGGATTGTAGACCTGTGTGCCCTTGATGATTACAGTGTGCGCCGGCAAATTAACACCCCAAGCCAAGGTGGCAGTCGAAACCAGCACCTGAATGTGCCGATCAGCAAACAGATCTTCCACCAGCGTACGATCCACGCGCGTCATGCCAGCATGATGTATGGCAAAGCCATAGGGCAACAGCTCCTTAAGCTCCGTATTCTTCACTTGCTCGGCTTCGGTCCGCAACACTTCCATGCTGGCTGAGCCTTCGCGCAGAAAGCTGCCCAACGTGTCCTGCTCCAGGCACATGTCCCGAACTGCGCGCGCCGTTTTGCCCGTCTCCTTGCGCGAGTGCACAAATACCAGCACCTGATTACGACCAGCATGCTCCATTGTTTTCTCATACACAATCTCGTTCATCACCTGCATAGGAAATAATATTAAATAATTTTCAGAAAAGAAGTACTTAGATGAAGACTTACCTGGAAACGTTTCAATGCCTTCTTCTCCGTGACACCAATGTACTGTTGTTCCAGTGCCACTGGACGATAGCTATTGTCAAAGTAGAAGAGGCCCTTGTCGGGTTTGACGCGTAGAAATGTGGCCACGTCTTGGTAGTTTGGCAGCGTGGCAGACAAGCCCACCAGACGTACATCCTCCTGTGTGGTCTCAATGTTACGTATGGTACGTGCCACCAGCGCCTCCAGAACTGGTCCACGCTCATCGTGCAGCAAATGAATCTCATCAATAATGACCAGACGCACCAGACTAACAAATGTGCGTTCACCACCCTTACGTGTTATAATATCCCACTTCTCTGGCGTGCAGACAATCACCTGAGTCGCAGCGATTTGC